TCGATTTTCAGCAGCATTACATAATTTTCCCTATACTACATATGCACACGTACGTATATGGAAAAGTAAACCGAGTTACATAAAATATAGTGCTAGTTTTTTCTGTAATTATTTATGTCAGTACTTATTTTATGCTATGCACCATAACCTGTAAGTCACCTGCCCCATCTATTCTTCCCTTTTTTGACAGGCTATTCTTCCTTCCTTTTCCCGGACTTACAGACTCGTAACCATTCCATATTTCCTTTGACACTGCCAGGATGGTGCACTTCCTTGCTGCAGCTTCCGGCGGAAGCACGAACGTCCTGCTTGGCCAGATTTTTCCATTAAAGATCCATCTCGGTTGTACACAACCGATCATCGGTGAGGGTATATCTGCTAAAAATGGAAGGAAGAGATCTGAAATTTGATAGTGATGGTTGAGGGATACCTACCATATCACAACACTCATGCAAACATTCATATCCGAGGAGGGATTGGAACCCATGTCCCTTCGAATCGAGGTTTCGGCGCTACTTCCTTAACGTTCAAGCCAACCTTGGTCAGCAGAATGCTTTTTTTTTTAATTTATTTCATTTTTAAAAATTAATTTCCTATTTATTACAGTCATAGAATTTATTGTTTATTAGTAGAATAGTGGGAAAATGGTTCTCATTTAACTGCTACTCTACGCCTCCAGTCCCAGAAATTCGGCCCTGCACTTGTGGCCCTGGCGTTGGGTCTTCAGCTGCTTCACTCGCGCTGCGAGAGGTGGATGCTGGAGGGGGAAGGAGAGGGGAAGGAGATGAGTTTCGGGCGATCGAAGCGAAGCGAGTGACAGGGGGCGGGTCAAGGTCACTCTCGACGATTCAGGCAGCCAATTGACCCAAAGGGCAGCCCGTGCGGATGGCGCACAATTGACTCTCGAGGATGTGTAATACTGGTATTGACGAAATGTCGCTCTCAGTGGCAAAGTGGCTTTGTGCAGAACGTGATGGTCAAGGCAAAACTATAAGGCCTAATAATGTTGAAATATTCGGTTTGTGAAATGAAAATAAAATTGAAAGAAAGCCATAAACTGTAATGACTGGCTCAGGTGGCTCAGGGCATCAATTGATGTCTCTGCAGTGCCTCTGACCTGGAGGTCCTAGTGTTCCAGTTCCAACGGTGGCAGGATTTTAGACTCTAGCCACAGAGGTTAAACAGTTGAATTCACAAGGGGTATCAGCCTCTTTCTGGAATATAATCCTAGCGGGCGACTGCTCTGGTCGGTAGTTTTCCGGGGGTTCTCCTACAGCCACTAGGCTAATGCCGGAGCAGTACCCTAACAAACGGGCCACGGGCAGCACGCGATCTTTCCTTCCTCTTCCTTTTCTATCCGCTACCTTTACTTGCGCACACACTTACATGCATTACTCTACCACACTCGTCGGGAGCTTAGACCTCGATCCGACTGCGTAGGTGCCCTGCTGGTGGGGGATACCTGGCTGGGGAAATGTATTGATTGATACTTCCATAACGTGGAGTGCTGGCGAAGCGTTGCAGCTGCAGTTGAGCGTGGCGCGGATTGTGAGAGTGCGAGCGGAATGAGGCGCAGAGAGATGGAGCAGGGTCGGAAAAATAGTACCTTACATTACGAAGATACAATGCGCGCAGATATTGAAAGAAATTTGTGCTGCTTCCGGTTTTATCTCAGGTGACTATGGTTTTGTTAAAAACCAGGGACCCCATAAAATATAAAAATATATATGTGTAAAGAAAATATATTTTCTTTAATTTAAACATGCCCTGCTTCACACCCTTGGCGCGTGGTTCGACTAAGGGCCGCTAGATGAAATGAGTGGTACGATTGTTGGAAGAAATTTAGATACGCATGAGTATAGATTGAAAATTTATAAGAAAGATATAATTGAAGTAAGTAGTGTAAATATAGAAGCGGTAGTAGTAGGCTTGAATTGTCGTTTCTCTTTTTACAGGTAAGAGCAATATGTCGTAAATAGTTTTTGTAAATGATAGTTGATAAAAATGTATAAAACTCCACTCTGTTTACAGGGAAACATGCACGTGTAAGATGCCCTATGGTTTCGTTAAATACACAGAAACTCCTGAAAAATACACAGAGAGTAAAGAAATTTTGATATTAATTGAAAAATGCAAATATTTGATTGTGTAGTTCCGTTTACTCTCATTTTGCGCGTACCGACTGAATTCCCATTCTTAAAGCCACATTTTAAGTCATTTGACAGCAAGGCTGTAAGAGAGAGTGAGCGTCCCATTAAGTATTTGTTATTCACGTGTTGCGTTATGAAACAGGAAGAATTTTCATATTTTTGGTACGAAAAGTTCTGTTGCACTCTATAGGTACAATGACGTGATTTGGGGTAAGGCGAAGACGGTTTTTGCTAAGATATCTACTTTTTCAGTATTACAAGATACTTTTTTATTTGTTGCTCTTGAGCAGAGTGCATGTTATTTTTCAGAAAACCATTTTGTTCAAAAGCATTTTTTTGCAGTAGCAGTCTACTAATAAGAAGTTACTTTTATTTTCTATTAAAGATATAATTGATTCCTTTTCGTGTTTTCGTTATGCTAATATTGATAATATTAAAAAAAATAGGCAAACACTTGTAATTCTTAGGTAAAAAACATTGCTAAGTAGCACCTTCATTCTTATGTCCAGAAATAGACAGGAAATACCAATAACAATAGTTTATTTAGCAAGGATTTATAACAAACAAAATACACATTGCAACATGTTTCGTTTACATAGTTCATAGTAAAAGTTTGCAGCAGTTTTCGTAACAAGTCTACATCCCTTATTGCTGTACAGCTCAACACACCCGACACTGTTCACGTAAGGCAGATGTCACATTCGTTCCAATTCAGTTTCCAAATTCCTGTCACCAAGTCTGTGAAGTGGATTACCAACTAATGACCTCAGTCAACCCTCAACTGGTTTGCCAACCAACACACTGGGGCTCTCAGCCCCTTTTTATATTGGGGCTGAAGTCATACTTATTAGTGATGTGACATCTACAATAAAGCATCGTTATATCCAAACGTCGATGTTTAAATATTAAATCATCCATGCTAAAAATATATTTGCCAAAGAACCATCGATGTTTTTAAAATTTGATGTTTTTAAGTTGGTTTAGTAACCTATGACTTCAGATTCGTGCGCAATAAAATTTAATTTGACAATGCACTATATAATTTTATTTATAATTAAGATTTAACTGAAAACAATTAAAAATGACTCTCCATGCACAAATTACTAAGAAAGACAGGAAATACGCCTTTACCACGATCAATCTCGGGTGAAATAGATTTGTCTTCGTGATAAAGGTAGTTACAACCGCGTTCATTTGGTTTGAACACCTAAGCGAACAGTAATTATTTCATATTTTAACTTAACCAAATGTATTATACAAATTTTTCATGTATAATTCTAACATTAAAAACGTAAAAACATCAAGGAAAAAACATCAAACTTGGCCATCCCATGCCTATGACTCGACCGACGGTAAGCATGTTTGCCGAATTCAAAGGGCCCAACACATCTACAACAGGAATTGATTACTGCGGAGCACAGTCGTGTAATTTGATTTCGGCTGAAATGAAGTTTGTATTAAGATTCGTTCATGCGCAAGTTTATTTGGAGCACGGTGTAAGACAAGTATCATACGCCATGATATGTAGAACAAATCTCGTGGAGCAAGCAGGAGGCAAGAAAATAGATTCGAGGAAAACAATAAGAAAATATTCCTGTCAAATTATTTTTAGGGTATATTCACCTAAAATGCTAAAAGTTTTTTCTTTAATTTTTTTAAACGAGGAATGTTTTATTCATGAAAAGAATTTATGGAAGTTTTAAAAAAATGACGCAGATATTATTTCCCTTCAAGACATTCTTATTTACTAATTTTTCGAAAATTTCAGATTAAGAAATATTACGAGATATCTACTGTTGTAAGCATCCCTAGTTTGATTCATTCATTGATGCTTCCAATCACGTCAACCTACACAGCCATTAGTTCTATTTGTGTAGTGAATGCATTTTGGCGGAAATTGGCGGTGTTTTCCTCATTAAACGTTGAAACCCAGCGACGACGTTCACGTCTGTTTATCTGAGACACCTCAAACGCGTGGACGAGGAGAGGGCTGGGCCGGCGTTGCGCGAGATGGAGCGAAAGCTACAAGAGAAGGACGCCGATATCCGCGCTTTACAGCAGCGACTCGAAGAGACCCAGGAGAGAGTGACGGCCGTGGAGGAGAGAACGACGGCTTCGGAGGGATCTGGAGGGGAAGGAGGTTTGCAACGTCTAGAAGGCCGTGAGGAGAAAGTAGAGGCCTCTCTGCAAAGAGCGTTGCAGAAGTTTATGCCCCGCGTTGAGGCTCTATTGCGGCAAATGGAGAAGCCCCAATCTACACGTGAGTGTAAGATACAAGGAAGAAGGACCCTACGCAGTGTCTGACGTGGACGTTTTTGAATTTCGCCTTGGATTTATGGGAGACCCCGAGAGAAAATACCGATAAGACGCCGGTAGCGAGAATTATCTTGCAGACAACAGCTAGTTTCGACCTCTGCATAGTTTCTCTCGAATATGCACTACCACCGGGATTCAAAACAAAGAACGGCTGACTTTACCTCAGAGACAGCAATGCTTCAGACTCTGCAGTAACTGTGCCTGGGAGATCCTAGAATTCGAGTACTAGGAATATTCCTGGAGGGTAAAATCCGGCACCAATCGACGGGAAAAACGGCTTCAAAACTCATTACCAATGAGAAGAACACCGACTCCTCCGATGAAACAACATTCACTACAATATCGCAATTAATGACCATAGCAGTTGACGTCCCAAAAAACATCAATCAATCAGTCAATCTATCAATCAATCAATAAGACTCTAGGACTCTTGGTCGGAGCCCACGGTATGCAGTGAAGTGGAATCTCCCCACGCTTATTCCTGGCGATACAGTCGCAGGTGAAGCTGCAGAAGATCTCGCAATATCAAACGGCTCAAGGCTTGATGTTCCTCCTCGAGTCAGCCGCTTCCTCGTTACCTATCGTTGCGTAGTGCAGAGGAGTCGCTCCAGCCATATTCTTCGCGTTGATATTCCACCCCCTCCCCTCACCCACCAGCAGATCCATGAACGCACTGTTGCGGCCCCTCAACGCAGCCCAATGCAATACGGAACACTCTCGGTAGTAGACAATGCATCGGTGTCTCGTTGCCAAAGAAGCGACACCATGTCCACATACGCCTTCCACACTGCATCAAGTACAGGATTGAAACCAATGTATTTGACGTCGTACCTGAGTCTGAAGGGCACGTGAACGTGAATATTGTTAAACAATATAGAATTTCAATTTTGTATTAAAAAATATGCAGTCTTTACTGAACAAACTTGTGTATATTTTATGTGTAACATTTCGAGAAGTTTTATAAAAAGCAATTTTAAAAATTTCGTGTCAAGCGTCCACGCTCCTTTTAAACGTCAAATTTTTATCCATTTTATTTCTTGTGCTATCGAAGATATTTCAATGGAGTGAATTTTGTTTTAACTGTTGGTAGCTCTGTTAGAGTCTGGCGTCAGTGGCATGTTGCAATGTTTTTGGTTTGTTCTGTGTTTACATTTTAGTATGCATGTCTTGATGACTAATCAGGGTTTTCGGTAGTCCCTATCAAACTTTAAAGAAAAATTCCCGTAAGTTACATTTTATCGTATACATCTTTTATAAAAACTATGTGGGATAGAGAGCTGATATTTCCATATTAGGTTAGGAACACATTTTAGAATAATGTAGACAGCAATAAATGTCCCACATTTAAAACAAACAGAAATATGTTTTAAACTTTTAAAAAGCATGCCAATTTTAAACACTTTTTTAAAAATTATTTCACAAAACACTATAAATGTAAATTATTTCATATTAATTTGGTATTAGCTAATATTCATATTAGCGTAATAATGTGGTCTACAAACGTGCTAAATCTGACTTATTCTATTTTTTATTAAAATATCAAAGAACATAAACTAAAGTCGTTAAAGAGGAAAATAAAAAAGTAAATGTCATAATAAACTAAAATGTTAATAACAAAAAAACAGTAAATGAGTTAAAGTGAAATTGGTATTAAATTATTCAGAACTCATTTATAGTGTCATATTTGAAATTGACGTTGGTATCAAAGTTTTCTAGAAATTGGGGTTTGAAAATGCTTATTTTTTACCAATATTGCGTTCACATACATGTGCCCTTAAGAGATGTCATAACTAGTCTTCCTTCTGTCGCCGCCTTCCACAACTGCTCTCCCAGGGGGGAGGGAGAGGTTCGTGCCATCTCCACCCTCAACTTCATTTCCCGCACCCGGAGCGCCACCCGCTGCCTCGCGCATTCTTCCTCGTCGGCCGCCGCGCGCTGGTGCCTTGCGCCTGAGGAGGTGGGGGGTGGAGATGAAGGTGGAGGAGGGGGGCCAGTCCCCCCTCCCACCCGCTGCTGCATCTCACGTCGCCGGTACTTCCCGTGTGCTGGTGGGTGCCTCACGCTTTCTTGCTTGTCAGTCGCTGCACGCTGGTGCCCTGCGCCTGAGGAGGAGGGGGTGGAGGTTGAGGTGGAGGAGGGGGGCTCCCCCATCCCACCCGCTGCTGCGGCTCACGCCGCCAGTGTTTGTGGATGAAGGTAGATGCGGTGTTGGCAATACGCACGTGTAGATTGGGGCTTCTCCATTTGCCGCAATAGAGCCTCAACGCGAGGCATAAACTTCTGCAACACTCTTTGCAGAGAGGCCTCCACTTTCTCCTCGCGGCCTTCCAGACGTTGCAATCCTCCATCCCCTCCAGATCCCTCCGAGGCCGTAGTTCTCTCCCCCACGGCTGTCATTCTCTTCTGGGTCTGTTCGAGTCGCTGCCGCAAAGCGCGGGTAGCGGCGTCCTTCTCTTGTAGCTTTATCTCCATCTCGCGCACCGCACTTGCCGGCTTCTTATCCTCTAGGCGCAGGGCTGCCTGCATTCTGCGCTCCGCCTCCTCCTGCAGGCGCACCTGCAGGCGCACCTGCAGGCGCAGGGCCTCCTGCAGGTGCGCTGGTCCCTGCGCCGGCAGCTGGAAGGTGTCGCCGCCGGCGTCCGCGCCATCTCGTGAGTCATTTCAATCAGATCATCGTCGACTGGCCATCTCTGCGTCTGAAAGTTAAGAAATAAACCCATTATTAAAGCCTATTGTTGTTTATATTTTACAAAACGAGGGCAATAGATCCGCAAAATTCATTTGTGGATAAAAATGACATATTTTGACATGTTTTATCAATATGTAAATTTAGATATTTGATTTCTGTGATGAGCGGGAAGAACATATACATACTGAGTGTCTGGAGAGGAAACTTCAAATCTTCGTAAATAAGCTCTTAAGGCAATATTTAGCATGTTTTGTCCAATAATATACTGAGATATTCCGAATGCTAAAGCCAAAATAAGCACTCAAAAGTTGGTTAAAAAAAAAGCTTTTTAGGCAAACATTTGCATTGCAGAAGTATAGAAACATCCCAGAAACATGTTAATTGTTTATTATTTTAAAAAAAGTTAATATATTTGTTCAGAAAGAAAAAAATACACAGAAATAAAATAGAATCCTATTTACACAATTCAACTGCTTTTTTTTATTTCTGGGTTAATGTTTCTCTCTGAACGAATATATTATCATCTTTTGTAAATAATAAACAATGTACATGTTTCTGGAGT